TACCTGTTGTATTGTGGGAGCTCCAAAAATAGGGATGGCAATTCAATTTGCTACAATTTACATTTGGAGAAATTTTTGAACTTTTAATTTGACGTGACTCTATCGAATGTATTTTATCATTGTAGGAAATCTATTCTATATTCGTAAAATTACATCAAGTTGGATTTTATTGATTGAGGGTAAATTTCAAAGTTGAACAAAAGTAAATATGAAGGTAAAGATTTCATATTAGATTGTGCTTCGGATATTCTTGCTTTGCTTAACAATATTTTAACCATACCTATTGTCAATAGTTAACATAGTTAACATATCGGTGACACATCACTAATTAATTACAGTAACATTTTCCGTAATTTCCAGAAGCTCCTTCCGAATTTATTTCAATAAACACCGTAATTGACAATTACAGCCGTAATTGATAATTACAACTCCCACTCGTACATCCTCTGATATCTCTACATACTCCCCCATAACCTCTCCCCAGTTCCTTTCAAATTTTAATCAAACCTATTTAACAAACCACCCAAAAAGATTCTCGCAAAAGCCTAAACGCATCCATTCCTCTCAGCTTCATTCCTCAGCTCCAAAATTAATCCGAATTATCATGAAACAAGCACGCGCGATCGAATAACCGCGACACATCGTATATAACAATCCAGTAAACGAAGAACCACAAGGATTTAGCCGCGAAATCGAAATTGCATTTCCATCGGACGACTTAACGAGCCCCGAAGTCGAACAGCTTTATCCTTCGTTGGAGAAGAATGGATCGAGTTCCCCGGGAACTTAATTGTGCTTTACTTTGTCGAGAAAGCTCGACAGCAATTCGGTTCTCGATGAGAGGTTGGGTTCCATGGGACATCGGGTATAAATCATTCGAGCGTTACTTGGTCGATACCATCGAACGATTCTTCTAATCGAACGATTTTTCTGTGCACGCGGGAAATTTTAATGTTCGGGAGGGTTTATTGTGGTTGTTGGGGAGGAACGATTGATATTGTTGTCATTGACATTTATGGTAAAATATTTTATATTTAGATATTCACATTCAGATATTTATGTTCAGACATGTATATTTAGATTTATTTAGTAATTATTTATATTCAGATATTTATTATATTGGACATGTATATATTTAGATTTAATTAGTAATTATTTATATTCAGATATTTATTATATTGGGCATGTACATTTTTATATTTATTTAGACATTTATAATCAGACATCTACGTTCAGACAATGTATATTTATATTTATTTAGATATTTATATTCAGATATTTATTATATTGGACATGTACATTTTTATATTTATTTAGACATTTGTACTCAGACATCTACATTGAGACAATGTATATTTATATTTATTTAGATATTTATATTCAGACATTTATTATATAGGACATGTATACAATTTATATTCATTTAGACATTTGTACTCAGACATCTACATTCAGACAGTGTATATTTATATTTATTTAGATATTTATATTCAGACATTTATTATATAGGACATGTATACAATTTATATTCATTTAGACATTTATACTCAGACATTTATATTCAGACAGTGTATATTTATTTTTATTTAGACATTTCTATTCAGACATTTATTATATAGGACATCTATATATTTAAATTTACTCAAACATTTATGCTCAGACATCTACAATCAGACAGTATATATTTATATTTATTTAGACACTTCTATTCAGACATTTATTATATAGGACATCTATATATTTAAATTCACTCAAACATTTATACTCAGACATCTACAATCAGACAATATATATTTATATTTATTTAGACATTTCTATTCAGACATTTGTTATATCAGACATGTATATATTTATAATCATTGAGACATTTATACTCAGACGTCTATATTCAATCATGTATATATTTATATTTATTTAGACACATACTCAGACATCTACATATAGCTACCCACACTGAGACATCTACATATGGATGTTCATAGTCTTCATAATGAAGTATCACTTCAATCATTATCATCAAGGATCATTTATTTTAACGTTATATCAATAACTGACTGCGAACGACCCAACTGCAAAAATTCTGAGAGTTTAACCTAACTATTCAGAATAAAACGCTTAAAATCAGCATTCGTTACAATAAAACTGTCAAGAAAAAAGTGTCATAATTTCCCTCATCTCCTAAAAATTCTTTATCGCCCGTCATAAATGTTTTCGCAGATCCGCGAAACGCTTCTAATTTCGCCACAGTTATTTCGCAAGTTTCACGACAGTGAAACGGCTGTCTCGTGCTCGCAAACCGCCTCGAATTTTAATTACCGCGAACTATACCGCGTCTGACGGTTTCGTCTCGCGTAATACGTGTGCACCCTTCTGCGCGAAGCGTGCTGTTAAAAAAAGGGAACAGAAAAGGGCGGCCTGGACAAAGGGATCCGCAGCGGGGGCTGTTATATCGAAACTCCCGCCAAGAAAACGGGTGTCACCGAAATTTATTTAGCAAGCTGACGGGAGGAACAATATCGTCTCGGGAGGGAGACGTGTATACATTGGGGATTGGGGAATTGAACGCGATACGTGAAAAATTCGGGAAGTTATAAATATTTGAAGGATATTGAAGGATGTTAAGAATATTTGAATATGTGGGGTCTTGATAATAGTGAGGTAATTAATTTTGAAAGGGATTGTGAGGTTTAACTAGATATTTTGTGATAACTTTGTACAGGAATTGTTAATACGATTTAATTATTATTTGTGACACGTTTTGAATGAAGGACTTTTAATGTGAAATTTAATACTAGGTTTATGGACATTTCTTTGATATACTTATATGTATAAGAAATATATATATATATATTTTATAAGATGCGTACGTAGACGCATACACGCGCATGCGCACCTATATACATACATGCGTGCGCATGCGCACTGAGACATATGCAAGCGCGCATGTGCACTGAAACATATGTAAGCGCGCATGCACACGCATATATTATATAATATAATACAAACAATATGTATATGTATGTTATGATAATTAATACACTTTGAATATATTAATATTCAATCATTTTAATTTTCTTACCGTAAGTTTCAATAGTATCTTCAACGCAATAAACAGCAAACAATTCACGCAGCACGTGTTCACAAAAGATAATTGTAACAACAAGTGCTACTTTAAACATCTCTTCAAAATTCTATCTAAGATAAATATTCACAATTTCTTATTGTATTCCATAAATATATAAGAGTAGAAGTAACGAAGCGTTTAAGAAGAGTTCAAAAATGATCTCCACGATAAGAAGAGGTCGTAGATCACGCGTGACACACGGTATTCATGGCGCAGTCTATGACGACAGTCTTTAAAACGCGCATTACGTGGCCCATGGATCCGGGCAGATTTTATTGCACCGCATAAATCTATTCTCATCCACGCGTGCTTCGACTATAAATCATTCGAGCGTCTGAGAGCGCGGGTCCAAGAAATTTCGGTGTACGTTGACCGACGAAAAAACAAAAATGAAACAAAAATTGATTTACGTGAAAAATGCTCGGCTGACACGGGTTTCCGAATCCAGATAACCGTACGAATAAAGCGAGGACGAGAAAAACACGCGTGTTAACGTTATCGCCGACAGTGGGAGACATTTATGTCACGGGAGAAAAGGCTTGAAGAAAGCTGGGACGATGATTTATGACATTTATTTCGCTGGTGAATCGATAAGACATTGGACAGATTTCATTAACGATTAGCGGTAAAATTGACGCTTCTGAAAGTTATTTTAGATTGCAAAATTCTGGGGTATTTATATTGAAATGTTGACTTTTGTGGAGTTAAGGAATTATGGACACTCAATTTTTATTTAATTGTACGTTTAGCTATTTTTCTATTTTATGTTGTATTTCAAATTATGTATGTTGTACGATGATAAATGCATAAAATTTACAGTAGTCATTTCACAGTAGCAACTACTGAGAATATTTTAATTATTCTGCCAGAAGATTTATATTGTACAAGAATACAAAAATATGTACAAGAAATTTGTATATATTGTACAAGAATATTATTGGAAGTATCACATTGCAACATATGGTTATTACAAGATATTATACAGACAAATAAAGAGAAAATTATTGCAGCTATCACATTACAACATATGGTTATTATACAAGATATTAGACAGACAAATAAAGAGAAAATTATTGCAACTATCACATTACAACATATGGTTATTACAAGATATTAGACAGACAAATAAAGAGAAAATTATTGCAACAATCACATTACAACATATAATTATTACAACAAATTAGACAGACAAATAAAGAGAAAATTTGCCTACATATTCTGCCTACATATTTATAGCAACAGGAAAATGGTCTCGTCGCAGAATCGTTCACCGGCGAATTGATTTTTTGTACCGAGGGTGTAGAAATGAAAAATTGTCATTTAGAAACATGGAGTGAGATTAAAACCGAAATGAGGTAGAAATTATTCTTTGGAGCGAGGTTATCGTCGGAGTGGATCGAACGCGCGTCGCAATGCACGAAAGTGCATCGGGTGCATGCGAAAGCTTGGACCAACCGGTTCTAGATCGAGGCACGAAAATTCGCGATAAATCTCGTCGGCTGACTGCCGGAACATACACGTGGAACAGTCATTTCCGGGGAATTTGTGGACGAGGGAATCGATCGATTCCTGTCACATTCGACGCTTTTCTTGTTATCGACGCGAAACAAAGATCGAGGTAATACGTATACTCTTATGGACAATTAATCCCCGTTTAATCTATTGTGGGAGCACGAGAAATTTCTGAAAAAAATTCAGAAGGAATTTCTCTGGAAAATTGTGATCGAGTACGATCGTTCTTTTTACTTTAAGAAAACTGAAGAAAACTTCTTTTTATTTTAAGAAATCGTTTACAGTTATTTATCGAAAATAACCTAAAGAGATTATCGAACTCTAGAAATATGAATCAGTAAAAAGCATATAAAAATATACTCACCGAAATCAAAGAGAAACAGGCAACAGCGAAATTCTGTAAATAAAGAATAAACTTGATCAGAGAATTATTCAAACTATTTAGAGTAGATGAACGGATTTGGGGTCAATGATTTCACAGGCAGCGATAAAGTATTTCTAACTAATAGAATTCCGATAGCTTTGTCTTTCGACAAACACGCAGTTAACGCGGAAACAAATCGGATGAGGACGGTACTGATCGAACGAAACGCGATGGAAAATGCATCCATTTGATACCACTACTACCAACTGGTTTTGTATGTATACACTTTTGTACTGTTTCTACGTTTCGAGTTTTATTGTGTTGCTTCTATTCTATTTTTTATTGAACTTGGTTTTCATGGGTGATCGATAGAGAAAAAATATTTATATGTTTTACTTTAGAGGTACGTGGGACAGAGTACTATGTTCTATGATAAATACTATAGCAGGTGTGTAACATAATTTATTTTATTTATTATTGAACTTGATTTTCAGCTATGGTCACTAGTAGAAAAATATTTATGTGCTTTATTTTAGAGGTCCATATGACGGAGTACTATGTTCTATGATAAATACTATAGCAGCTATGTAACATAATTTATTTTAATTTTGTTGAACTACCTCTTCATCGGTGATCACTAGTAAAAATATATTCAAATGCATTTTTCTTAGAATGTCCATACATCCAATGAATGTAGTACTACGTTCAATACTCCATGCTACAACATCTATATAGATCTTCCATTGTATTTTTTATTGAATCCAGTTCTCGAGGATCATTAAAAAAAATATTAAGATACATCTTCTTTTAATATTTATATAACGTAATGCATTACAAGTTCCATGCTGCAGCATCAACAGAATAAATTTATATAAGATTGCAAGATAAAAATAAATAACTTCACGATGAAAGATCAGAAATTTTCTTCAAAAAGAAACAACCTCATAGAACGTTTACGAAGTAATAAATTTTAATCAAATTAAATAGTTTCAGAAAGAAGATACATTTTCAGTGCAGAGACGTCGCTTGCGATTTAATATTGGCTACGGCATCGAATCGACGACAGATGTCGAGGACAGTAAAAAAGGAAGAGTAGAAAAGGGATATTACTTAAAAATTACGTTTCTCGGATGAAACAGCTCGTATCAGGGACGGGATCCTTCTCATAAAGGCCCCTCGAAGGGCTTCTTCTCTAATCCCCATCGGAAACTTATAAAACGCTGAACTGGCACGTTTCACGCGGCCAATTTATTATCCCCTTCCTTCGCGTTTCTTCGGCTATCTTATACCTTTCCCCCTTCTTTTTTTATCAATTGTTCTCGTGGTTTCTCCTGTTAACCCTTTCTTCCCTACGATCAGATTGCGGTTCGGATACGTTCAAATTTGCATGCGTTCTTGACAGCGAGGCGTTCATCACACTTTCATTCGTCGACGAGGATTTTAATTACTTACGGTTTTAAATGAGACCATTAATGTACCAAATGTACATGGTTCATAATTAATATCTTGCTTTTACAGAAACTTACAGTGTATCAATTACATGAATGATGAATGTGGATCAATAAATTCTACCTATCTTCTCTAAAAAAAATATGCGATGGCTATTTGAAGATTTAGTGGATGTGAAGATTTAAGATTTAAGAATTTTAAAAATTTTGTAAAATGAATATATGCAACTTAGCGGTCTAATAAAGAAAGTTAATGAATCCTCAATGAGAGCATCGTTGCACAGTACCTAAATTAACCCCTTCTTGTGTTATTTATTTATCAGATGCGTCAGTCAAGACTAACTATTCTAATATTAAAACGGACAAAGAAAATGAAAATGTTCTGAGTATTTTATGTTCAGATATCCTCGATAATGCAACTTATAGTTGGACCTAAATTTCAAGTTGAAGAGTATTCAAAATTTGATTGATTGATTATTGTTGTGGGCGTCGACTACTATGGTCATTAGCCCGTTCAAAATTTGAGCAAGGTTGTCACATTTGAGCTGTAAGTGCGTCACGAGTGAGACTCGTCAAAGTACAAAAAGGAGTTAACATTCATCAAGTTTCTACAAAATCCTCTAATTCTCACAAACGAAATTCGGTGAAAAAAGTTTTCCGATCTCGAACTCATCGCCAAGATGGCGTATCGTCCGATTTTTCGACAGCCGCGTAAACGATCCGTTCACGTCGTCCCGACATTCCGCGGAAAGATTCATGGAAGTTCGCGTATCTCGAAAGTTTTAATGTCTGTTCTTTCTTTCGAGACACTCTCTTTTTTGTTGCTGTTGCGAGACAAGAGGTTGAGATGCTTGCTCGAACAGAGAGCGGATCGTATCTTTCCCGACTTTTCCGGGGCAAGCCGCGAATATCCAGTGAACTTCCGACAGCGCAGAAACTCATTTTCCGCATCGATGGCCGCCGAAATTGTCGCGATTTGCCTGCTGGAAAACGGCCCGTAAAAATCTATGGCCGGGCTATTTTCTCTGCGTTCGACAAACCTCCCTCGTTTTTTGTCCACCCGAAAAATGTTTTAGGATCCCTCGTTGCTCTTTCGAATCTTCCGCACCGTTTCTGTACGCGTTTCTTCCGCCCGATTCCGGGGAAATGGATGCTCCACGATTTTCTACGGCCACGTTTATCGGGATCGAGAAAATTATTTTGCTGGAGAGATTTCTTTTTAGAAGTATGCGACAGGTACGAAGTTTCGCGAACTTATTGATACTTGATACACTTTTGGAGGGTTGCTTAAGGATATAAATGTGTTTAAGTACTCTTAAGGACTCTTGGAGGTTTTGGACTTCTGGTGCTGGACTTTTTCTTCTGTTTAAGCGACTTGTTTCGTGCTTGAGGTTTGTGAATAAGAAATGCGGATGAAGTGGGAAGTTATTTTATTGGATAATATGTTTGACTGGGGTTTAAGATTAAAACTATCAAATTGGTCAAATGACTGCTTCACACGTTTCTTATTACAAGGTTTTCTTATTATACAGATTTTGTTAAAGTACATTCTTTGAAATCAGCATGGAGTTTCATCAAGATGAAGAATAAATGTGTGCGCTAATTTATGTTTCGTCGTTTGTATATTTATTCTTTCACTTCATTTTTAATTTCAAAGTAAGTACACATTATATGCCGGTAGGTTTAGTGTGCACTAATTTATATTTTGTCGTTTGTTTATTTATCTTTTAATTTTATTTTTAATTTCAAATTAAGTACACATTATATGCCGGTAGGTTTAGTGTGCACTAATTTATATTTTGTCGTTTGTTTATTTATCTTTTAATTTTATTTTTAATTTCAAATTAAGTACACATTATATGCCGGTAGGTTTAGTGTGCACTAATTTATATTTTGTCGTTTGTTTATTTATCTTTTAATTTTATTTTTAATTTCAAATTAAGTACACATTATATGCCGGTAGGTTTAGTGTGCACTAATTTATATTTTGTCGTTTGTTTATTTATCTTTTAATTTTATTTTTAATTTCAAATTAAGTACACATTATATGCCGGTAGGTTTAGTGTGCACTAATTTATATTTTGTCGTTTGTTTATTTATTCTTTAACTTCATTTTTAATTTCAAAGTAAGTGTACATTATATGTCGGTAGATTAAGTAGTTGTGTCATCAAAAATTGCTATTCTATGAATTCATAATACAATCATCAAATCTATAAATTCACAATAAGTTTAAATTTGTAAATTCGTAACAAGTTTCTACATAAATGAAATAAACGTTTCCCGCACCTGTAATTATTCAAGTACACAGTAAGCCCATAAGTTACGCGACAAATTTGTTTTAAATTATACTTCGATCGCAAACAAAACAAGAATTAATTCATTCATCTCCCAATCGAGCAAAAATTTAATTAAAGCGTATTATTTGAAAAGGCATTCGACGAGCGCGCAAACACGTCGAGATAAATCGTTAAAATCACGCGGTTACGACCGCGAATTCGTTATTAAATTCGTTTTCTAACCGCTCACGAAATATTTATAAAGTTCAATATTAAATGAAGCGCGCTGCAACGTAGCCGATGTTTAACCTTCGGTGAATCGAATTCTTGTGGAAAATTTTTCTATTACTTTGACGAATTGCGATGCCGATACTTCGGGAATGTTATCGTAGAAACAATTTCTTTATGAAACAAGTTCTTACGAGTCAAGAGCTGGGTCAAGAGTTGCGAATCAAGTTACTGAGTTGTGTGAAATACGCAAGAGTACGAAATACTTTCAAGAGTAAAAAGTATGTAATTATTGTAGACGGTTGGCTCTTCTGCTGATAATTATACTTAGACTATAGGACTTAAGAGGTAGACTGACAATTTTATTAGTGTGCAACGCATCACTCTGGCCTGAGACCGTACGTCCTCAACTGATTTCCTTTTTAGAGAATTTTGGTACTAGTCAAGTATTTTTGGTAAGTCAAGTATGAAACGCAAAAATTCGGCTACCTATTAGCAAGACTAGTAGCACCAGTTACTAAGGAGTAACTACTAAGGAGTTACTAGGAGTGTAGATAAGTACACATGTCTTTAGTGGTAGGAACTATTGACTCGAGCTGTCATACACAACTGAGTCAAAGAACAAGGATGGCCCAGATAGAGACAGATAGGGACAAAAATATAGAGAGGCGAAGCAGATACAGACCGAGACAAGGACAGAGACAGACAGAGACAGAGAGAGGCAGACAGAGAGAGGCAGACACAGAGATAGACAGAGACAGAGAGAAGCAGATACAGAGATAGACAGAGACAGAGAGAAAGGCAGATACAGAGATAGACAGAGATAGTGGACGGTCACCTCGAACTTCAAAATATTACATTTGAACGTTGCATTTAGTGTTGAAGGTAGAGGTAGGCGGAGCGACCGAGTGTCCTTTACTCTGGCTCCGCCTACTACGCGCCAACTTGCAGGTCGTCTACAGTATGTCTACTCTCCCTTTACTCTGGCTCCGCCTCCCACGCGCCAGCTTACAGGTCACCCACAGTACATCCACACTCGTAATATTCACGAACTCCAAATCCTAATTAAACAATATACTA